CCGGCGATTTGATTTCTTCTCAATTGTGATCGTCAAAAATGAAAATGCAGTATCAATCGTCATCTTGTTGTTTCATTGTCATCTATATTCAATAGTATATTTTTTCATGTTCCCTAACATTCAGTAACCTCTTGCGTCTTAGTAGCTTAGTCGCCTTGCTCGGGTGAAATGATAAAAAAAATTTATTAATGTCTCAAACAGAGTATACAGTGTAAAGAAAGGGATTATCCGTTGCTTACAACATCGGGCAAAACTCATGAGTGGCGACCCAGAGACGTGTGAAATGGTCAACATAAGCAGTATCTTACAACGTTACAAATACCGCGGGTACATGGCAGCAGCTCCAACAAATTAGGATAGAAGGGTACCAGAGAGAAGATAACAAAACTCAGAAAACAGCTTCAATATGCTTACCCTATGTGAAGGGATTATCGGAGAAAATACACAAGATCTATTGTCCATCAAGACAACCTTAGATCAAAACTTCGCAGATACCTCTTCCGAGTAAGACTCCCTAAAGAGGAGAGCATGACTAAGAACTGTGTGTACGCCATCCTTTGCAACTGTGGTAAGATATATACAGAAGAAACATTCCTCTCCCTTAAGATAAGACCGCAAGAACATCGTAAATCGGTACCATGAGGACAAATAAAAAATCAGGCCTAGCTGACCATATTATGGAAGGAAAAGTGAAATCACGCTCTGTCCCGTGGAATGAAGTTGAAATTATAGACAGAGAACACAACTACAAATTACGAAAACTTAAGGAATCAGAACATCAGCTAGACCACAAAAATCTCCTGAGACGACCAAACATAGTGTGACGCCCCCCCCCCCCGCGGGTGTCGCCGCTCCAAACGTGACGTCCGCCTGTCTGCGTCAGTCGTGCTAACCCATCCTGTGACGACCAACTGGCTTGGTATTGGTCGCGGCACCCAAATGTGACGTTCTAACCTTTTGGTGATTCGGATGGGAATCTGGTTAGATTCGATATCAGCCTCGTCGTTCCCAACTCGCCTCCAACGTCTGGTTACCGAAGTAACTACTTTGATTTCCAGTCTACCTACCCACGTTGTGAATTGATCTTAGGCAGACGAAATTAATCAGTCGCCGGGGCCGTAATGCAAGTCGAGTTCGAATAAGGGCGATATCGTACAAATAGATGTAAAAGAAAATAAAATAACAACTCGAAAAGTTCAAATGTGTTAAAAAAGGATAACAATATTTTATATTTGGTTGCTGGATACAGGACTGCGTCTATTTCCCAACCCGCTATATGGATACGTGACACGTTGTTTTTGTTAGGCGAGTCTTAACATCTTAAGTTGTATGTTCTTTAAGAAACTGGTTCTTGGTGTGTCTTCAGGCGATATTCGTAAAACTTGTTTTGGTGGTATGAGTCTAAGTCGTTCTTTAAAATAAATTGTTCTTGGTTAGAAGATGAATTCGGAATTTGCGTGAATCTTTCAAGTCATCTATCTGCGAGGCTCGGCCAATTACCAATTCCAACCGGATCTGGATCTGGAACAGCCCGAACTTGACTGGAACTCCCGAACTGATTTTCGCTCGCTGCGACTTTGCTTATATGGACGCCGACCCAAATCGGGGTGGGCTCGTCGGGGTTTGAGGTTCCTTGATATTTCTATATCCACAGTCCACTTCTTTGTTTTCGGTCAAGAATATCCACTATTTTCCTATTTTGGAAGTCCTCTCCTATCCCCACCTTCTTCTGTTCTCATATGGGTATCTCACCATACCCTCAGAGGGCGTCAACGGTTTTCCCTCTCTCTCGCAGTGACATCTCATACCTATCCCTTCAATGGGTGCCAGCAGGCCTCCCCCCCTGCATCACATGATCACCTCCGCCTGGCTCTCGATAACATTCACCCAATGGGTGCTCAGCAGTGTGGGTGTGACCAGATTAGCCTTGTTTTTTTTTTAAAATTCTTGCTCGAAAAAAAATTATCTTTTATTTTCCTTTTCCTTTTTCCTTCGTTCTTTCTCTTATCTTTCGTAGAGTGTGTCCCTTAATCGCAGCTCTTATCCTCAATGTCACCTGGTACCTATCAATGAGATTTTCGCCAATTATCAAGTGGGTGGTCATCTAGCGAAACACAGCCAACTTTTCGTCCCGATAAGGTAGTTTCGCTATCCTAGCCGTATTTGCATTCTTGGTGCCGATTTCTGATAAAATAGTTTCGCTGTCATAGTCAAATTCCAACACAACCCAGATGCTTTGTCCAACGACATCTTCCCATCGACAATGACTTAACCTATGGTTTTGGTTTTCTTTGTTTTCGCAACTCCTGTGTGGTCAACGGACGACCTATTAAATTTTTATCTCTTTAGAATTCTGTGGAAGCCCAAATGGCATTCCCGTGACACAGTTAAATGTTTATCTATTTAGAATTCTGTCTCGGAGGCCAGCTAGCCAATCTGGAATTCGTCAATTAGATTTTCGCCGTCACCAAGCGGTTGGCCCGTTAGACGCTTTCACATTCTGGCGTTATCTATTCCCGATAATATAAGTTCGCCATCATGACACAGTTAATTTATATCTATTTAGAATTCTCGACAATGGCAATAAAAATTTTCACCATTTTTCCTTGTCAAAATAACACCGCTTAATGTCCCTTTCGTGATGGCTTTTTTTATTATCTAAATTTAACTCTCGCCTTTCTTTTTTTCTTTCTTTCCCTTTTCTTTTCTTCTTTCTCCCTTTTAAGCAAGCTAATTAGTGTCACAATAGAAATGAATATAGAAACCAGTAATAAGTATTACTAACGAAAACAATGAATAAAAACAAAAAATTCAATATAAGCTCAGGTAAAAAAATATGCAATAATAAAAAATGCACTGGTCTAAAATGATTCTGAGACATTAGATTTATAAGTCCCCAAAATTTATACATAGATCTCCTCAAGGACACATGTCCAGAGGATAAAGGTGTTGCTTATATGCCGTGACTAGACCCAAAGAGTTGTGAGCTCAATACAGTATTTTTACCAAAGCTTGCATTTTTTTTGTTCTTATTTATGGCTTTTCTCTAGCAGTCTTTATTACTGGTTCCTTTATTATATTTAGATCTATACTGTTGTAAGTTCATGCCACAGCAGTAGTGAACAAAAAATCTTGGAGAGCTGAGTTAAAGGGAAATAACTGAGACAACCGGAAGAGGCACGGTACGTGGAACTAGAACAATCTACGAAATAAACGTTTCGGTTCAAACTTCCAACGGCGGAAACGTTGTGAATATGGCAATGAATATAAAAATTACAGTCCGAATAATATAAGTAATGTACGTAGTCATAATATCTGATATCAGAGATATAGACAAATATTGAAGATTTTTTAACGTATAATCACATATGTAGTGTAAAACGCCAGGGCATTGTGTCAACATTTCCGCTTAGAATTCATGATTAAAGTTTTTTTTATACTTGAAATATAGAGACAATAGTTTTACCGGCAGAACGTGATACACAATTCCTGCCTGCAAGACTCGCAGCAGCAGATTGAGTGGAGGACTCTATCCTCTAATACTGTCATTCTTATCAGTAACAAGAACAAGGGTATCAAAAGTTGCTTCTTAATATCTAATGAATGCAAACTGCTATCACAGCTTCATAGAATAAATAAATATCGAATGAAATAGCAATTGTATTTTAAATACAAACAGTATTTTTTGTCTCAAATTATTTTGATGCAGGTCGATTAAAATCAACCCACATGCGTATGTTTAAACGGCAGCCATCTTGTTTTTCTCCCTGTCCAGAAGTAGTTTTCTGTACTCAAAATGAAGAATACTCTTTCCTGGGTAGAGTTATATCCCGTAAAATGAACACAGCGACGAGGAGAGAGCTAATCTAGCATGTTCGGAGAAAATTAAATCATTTAAATTTATTGATGTCCGATATATTGAAGAGTAGAGCCAATTCAAAAGAATTAAGTGCATTTTTGGATTCATCGACCCTGAATTGCCTTCAAA